AAAAGTCAAGGGCAGTAATCAGCTGAGGCACCTAGGTACACTTGTGGTCATGAGTCAACCTGAGCTTCACTACAAAATTTCTGCATTTTATTTTCACAGCTTTTTTGATGAAAAACTGTTTATAGTGACTGTGGCTGCAAGGTTGAAAGTATTTTATTTTTCTGTAGGTGTGGACAGTTTTTTTTCTGTGATATGTTGTAAAGATAATTTGAAGAAACCTAATTATTTTTAAATTTCTTATTAGCCCAGCAGAAGAACTGTATTTTGGATCCAAAGAAACTGGGGAGAAAAAATGTTTGATAGTTCTCACAAATGTCACTAAAAACATAGTAGCTTTTAAGGTAAGTATTTTATGTGTGGCCTGGTTTACTTTACTAAATCTGTAACTTTTTCTTGTTTTGGGTAAGGAGGAAGAAGTACTATTAAACCCACTTTTCAGTCTAAATTTTTTATTCTGTTGTGATGTTTGAAGCAGATCAAAGAAATCTTCTGGCTGAATTTATGCTTATTATGTACCACCCCAAAGGGGATAATCAGTAATACAAATCTTTGGAGCACTGACTGAAAAAGAGCTATGATGATTGTTAGTTCTTTAGTGAGAGCCTAATACTTCCTGAAAAAGAAAGGCTTAAGCATTAAAAAGTGATCTTTTTAGAATTTTTCTCCTTTTTAAATCTTGGCTGAGAACAAGTTTTTAGTAATGCTCCAAAATGATGCAGCTCCATCTGCAAATGTTACCGTCAAAGGAATGAATGTATGCTTCAGAAATACTGAGTTGACTTGCATCTTGATTTGGCTTTCCACCACATCTTTTGTGTTCTCTGCGCACACAAATAACTAAAGTTTCCATACTTTCACATTAAGAATTTTAACAGATAGTCCATTTGATATTCTTGGTTCTTTTTATGCATGTATATAAGAGAGAAAAATAGCATATGCCAGAAAAGAAAGGATAGAAGTAGTTGAGAGAAAGGAAAAAGTGAAATACCAGTGTCTGATTACTCCTACAAAAGAAAGTATTTTAAAGACTGTATGTATTACCATGTCTTAATATTTAAGCTTTTGGGGATTTTAGTTGTTACAGAATGAGGGAGGTTACGAAACAATCATAGTTTGTGCATGCATTTACTATATGCTTGCTTGGTATTTTTTGTTTATAGGTGAGAACAACTGCTCCTGAAAAATACAGAGTTAAACCCAGTAACAGCAGCTGTGAACCTGGCACATCGTTGGATATAGTAGTCTCTCTTCATGGTGGTAAGTAAAATCTTATGATAGAATTTTTAGGAAGTCTGGATAAGTTTTATTAACAGGCTGACTGCTCTAGATCCTAACCTTTGTATGTGCTTGCTGGGATGTAAGGCTGACTGACACCCATGTCTACTTGACTGTTGTATGAGAGTGTTACTATTTATAAAAAACATGGATGTCAGACAGCATTTGAGTAACTGCCTGTGCTGATTTACTACTCCACTTAGGCATAAGCAGCTGTTGTCTGCAGCCCATTCTTTCTTGTCTTAAAAAAAAAAAAAGTCGCAGTGGCAGCTGTCTCATTTGCGCTCTATTACAGTGGGAGTGTATTTGTGGTAAATCGGTTTCCTAAATTGTTGCAAGGACAAGTGAATTTGCTGGAGAATGCATTCTTTACAAAATTCTGGGTTGTCCTTCAATTGTTCAGGTGAAACTAGTTCTGTTAAAATGAAACTGTAGAATTTTGGGAAAATTGTAATCAAAATTGTTGAGCGTTAAGAGAACGATTTCATTGTTTTTGTTTCCAGTAAGTCAGTCTCCGATGTCCTGCAATGAACAAGCTCTCATTTTAAAACACCTTTGTTCAAGAATGCTTCACACTTTGCAATATTGTCATTTTATCTAAGCACATTTCGGCTTTTTTTTTCCTTTGAGAGCAGGTTTTGCAGCTTCTCTGCAAGATCGTTTCCTTATAATGGCAGCAGAAATGGACCAGTCTTCTGGAGCAAGTGTACCAGAACTGACTCAGTTTTGGAAAGAAGTCCCTAGGACCAAAGTGATGGAACATAGGTGAGCATATGGTTTTCTGTTGACAGGGGTTTTTTTAGCCATTATCATTTAGCTGATTTATAGCACTTGCATTTCATAATCAAGTGAAGGATTCTCTAAACCCAGTTGTGTTCTTACTGACTGAAGTATATTGCTGATGCTTCCACTCTGTTTTAACTGATTAGAGGTGTTTTTAATGCATAAAATGTCATGGTATTCTGCACATGCTTTTCTTTTTATTGTTGCTGTACTTGTGCTGATTAAGAGTTACGTGGAAAAAATGTGAATGGCTGTGACAATACACATGGACAGTAGATTTTTTTTTTTTTAAATAAGAATGTGCCACTTGTTTTTCTAAAACAAGCAAGGAAAGAAGACATACCAAATGCAAAACTTTTCTAGATAATATTAAAAAATATTCCATTTCTGCTATGGAAAATCATAATTTTGTAGAAAATTTCTGTAAAACCTATCACATGTTCATATGTGTGTTTTTCTATATTTAATGGTGAAAAAATACCACTAGGAAAATACGTTTTCCCATACACTCTCTTAAATATACCTGTTACTCTTCTCTCTCATCTGTTCACATCTAGTTGTATCATTGCACATTTCTAGGAAAAGTTCATTGTAATTCTTTCATCTGGAAGTCTGAGAGTCATGATATCAAAATGCTGTTTCATCTTTTAAAAAAAATAATTTGACTGTATTTTACTTTAGATTGGTTTTGGTTTTTTTTTCCCCTTTCTTTTGGAGCTGCCTTTACCCCCACATGGCCAAAATTAAGATGGAAAAAGTGTTTTTGAGACTTGATGCCTAAGTCTTGCTCTATCTTTGCTTCAAATGCTTATCTCTTACTTCCCTATTAAACAAAATCTACATCATGTGAGTGACCTTAAGCTTCCTTGGATAAATGTTGGATTTTTTTTTAGGACAGAGCCTGAAACAATAGGGAGAGATTATTTGATTACATTAGATTTATCACCTGCAAAGTGTGCCATGTATGTATGTTACTGATCAATACAAAACTGACCTTTTTATTAAACCTAGATTAAAAGTAGTGGAGAATATAATTATTGTCTCTTTAATATTATACAAGTGTAAGTGCTTTATCTGAGTGTCGTGGTTTAACCCCAGCTGGCAACTAAGCCCCACCCAGCTGCTTGCTCACTCCCTGCCCAGTGGGATGGCAGAGAGACTCAGAAGAGTCAAAGTGAGAAAAGCCGTGGGTTGAGATAAAAACAGTTTAATAGGTAAAGCAAAAGCCGCGTACACAAGCAAAGCAGAACAAGGAATTCGTTCACTACTTCCCACCGGTAGGCAGGTGTTCATCCATCTGCAGGGAAGCAGGGCTGCATCACATGTAATGGTTACTTGGGAAGACAAAACCGCATCACTCCGAATGTCCCCCCGTTTCTTCTTCTTCCCCCAGCTTTATATGCTGAGCATGACATCATATGGTACGGAGTATCCATTTGGTCGGTTGGGGTCAGCTGTCCCAGCTGTGTTCTCTCCTAGCTTCTTGTGCACCCCTACTGCTTGCTGGTGGGGTGGTGTGAGAAGCAGCAAAGGCCTTGACTCTGTGTAAGCACTGCCCATCAATAATGAAAACATCCCTGTGTTATCAACACTGTTTTCAGCACAAATCCAAAACATAGCCCCATATTAGCTACTATGAAGAAAATTCACTCTATCCCAGCCAAAACCAGCACATTCTCCACCCCTTATTCCATACCATTTATGTCATGCTCAGGTACCACACTATCCAACACAACCTCATTAACCAACACCCAACCTTCCCATCCTTTGATACAATACACAGGTATCATTCCCTTAGTCTATGGACCACCCCTGTGAAATCTCTTTAAAATGTCCACAAATGTCCACAAAATGTCCACTGAGTTCATTTAGTCTGTGCCTTTGGGCTCCATCTGTTATGGTGGTCACTCAGGACAGGAGAGGTGGTGTGTTGCGTGGAGTTATTGGGCACCAAAGCCAGCTCAGGTCAGGTCACTGCTGCACTTGCACTGCTTCTTGTAAGGCTTCTCCTCCATTGGTTCAGGTGGTTCCTGCTATAGCAATTCCCATAACATGCGACTCAAATCCCAGGTTACAACAATTTAAAGTTATTTCCATTACAGTCTCCACCCCTGGCCCCTTTGGACTAGACCATCAGGTTTAACATTGCAATGAACTCCTCTCTTTGCCCCTGCTCTGGCCTGGACTTATCCACTGACTGCAGTCCCTTAAGGTTGTACCTGCTCCAAGTGGAGCCTTATCTATGAGCCACGGTCTCTTCAGGGGTGTACCTGCTGCAGCATGGACTTATCCACAGCCACAGTCGCTTTGAGGTGCAGCTGTTCCAGCGTGGCCTTCTCCATGGGCCACAATGCCTTCAGAGATATACCTGCTCCAGCGTGGCAGGCAAGGGGTCACACATAACAGTTACTTGGGAAGACAAACGCCATCACTCCGAATGTCCCCCCCTTCCTCCTGCTTCCCCCGGCTTTATATGCTGAGCATGACGTCATATGACATGGAATATCCCTTTGGTCAGTTGGGGTCAGCTGTCCCGGCTGTGTCCCCTCCCAACTCCTTGTGCACCCCCAGCCTCCTCGCTGGTGGGGTGGGGTGAGGAGCAGCAAAGACCTTCACTCCATGTTAAGCACTGCTCATCAGTGACTAAAACATCCCTGTGTTATCAACACTGTTTTCAGCACAAATCCAAAACATAGCCCCATATGAGCTACTATGAAGAAAATTAACTCTATCCCAGCCAAAACCGGCACACTGAGGAATCTACTTAGATTTTATTACACGTATTTGTTCCTTTTTTTTGTTTTGTCTTGCTGGAGAAATTTTAGCATTTCTCTTTCCTTAAAATAGAAAAATGCCACAGCTTCAATTTAACTATTTCTTTAGCAAATAAATTCATTCCCACGCTAATTGACTTGCATGTTATCAGAGGAGCTTCTGCTGTATTTTATAAATTGTGTAGGATTCCACTATGTTCAGTTGTGGCTTGAAATTCTGTTCCTGCATATCCAACTGTGGAAGAGGTGGACTCCATGAAAAATGTTGTTGCTAAGGTTTAAAATTGAAAGAAAACCTTTAGATTTTGTTTGCTATTCAGTAAGTTGCATCTCTGGTAGTAAGTATGTGACTGAATAATCCAGTGGATCCTCTGCTATGAATTTAAGATGATGAAGATACATTTCAACTGAGCATGCAGATAATTCTGATCTTGCTTTCTGTATCAAAAGCTGTCAAAACATAATTGGTGGACTGGGGAAACTTTTTCAGGTTGCCATAGTCCCTGCTCATCGCAGTAGTCCCTGCTCATTGTAGGGGGATTGGACTATATGACCTTTAAAGGTCCCTTCCAACCCAAATGATTCTGTGATTCTAACAGTCATTTAGAAAATTAATCAACCAAAACAGATGATAAAGCATATATAATAACTGTTTAATGGACTGTTTACTATTAATTATACTATTATATAAAGTTATGATTTTTGGTGCGTACTTTTCTTCCTCTTTCACAGGCTCAGGTGTCATGTTGTAGAAAGTAGTAAGCCTTCTTCTCTGACATTAAAAGAGAACACATTTAATATTCCAGCAAAAACCAATGAAGATTTACATATACAGGTAATAGTGTATTCCTTTGTGCTGAATATTGAACAAAATTATAAAATATGATAGAGATAAAAAGAATTTGTACTAAACCTCTTTGGTACTTTGTAAATTATATTATTTGAAAAGCCTAGCAACTGAAAGTAACTAAATCAGTGATAGTGATTTAATTGTTTTGTTGAATGGTAATGGTTTAATAAAATACTACTTTCAATGCAGTTTGCTCATTTCTCTTGTATATATTACAGATCTGGGGTATCAATGAGCCTCAGCGGTATCTTTTGCTTCCTAGTGTGAAGATACCACCTACTTGATATGGGCAATATAGGCTATGTATAACTCTTAAGATCCAAAGCTTCTTTAGTAGAACAGATTCCTGAAGTATGTAGTGATAGAAAAGGTATCACTAAGGGAAGTCTTTTTTTATCTTTTTTTTTCCTGTGCTTATAGTTATTGCTAAATAGCTCTGAATTAACAAGTACTTTCATGTGCAGTAATTCTAATGTAATGAAACTATTCCTATTTTCAGTTAACTCGTTTACTGCAAATTAATAGAAGACTTCAAGAGCAGATTGATCGCTGCCTCTGGTTCCAGCAGTTGTCAGTTGTTTTATCATTACTATCAATTACTGTTGTTGCCTTCTGCTTCTACCTGGCGTGTACCCAGAGAAGCTAAAAAGAATTGCTTTGCACTGGATGTGCTGCCTATCATGATTAGTTGGACTGGAAGAGATTGCAGTGCTGCACTCAGATTCTGGAACTGCCAAAATGAGGTTTTTGAGCCCACAACAATGAACGATGATACAATTTGCTGAAAAAAAAAGAAGACATGGATGACCAGCAAAGGAAATTACTGAAAGTTGACACTTAGAACAGTGCATGAGGAAGATGTTAGAGCTAGGACCTATTTTCACTGTACAACTCAATAAATACTACTGAACTGGAAGGAGGAAACCAAATACAACAGCATAATTTAAAACGGGGTTTTTTTCCCTCTATTCAACTACTTTAAATACAACATTTTGTTTCTTTTCATCATATTTATTCCTACATCCTGAATTACTCTCATAGAAGGTGCAAGCAGTCAACTTAAGTGTATTCTAAAGGTTAACTTGTTCATTCAGGAAAATTTACAGAAATTATGTAGTACAGGCAGATTTTTTTATATCATCTATGTACGTGCACATATAAAGGAAGATATTTGTTGTTAGTAATTATTTTGGTAATTCAGGCTCATTGCTTTCATTGGTTAAATTCCTTATTTTTGTGCTTTTTCTGAATGCAAAGTTATTGTAAATATTTCCTACCAAATAACATACACACAGCCATATTGACCAGGAATATAATCCTTGTTTGATTCCAAAGATAGTAATGAAATAATCATGATGAGACACTATTCCTATTCTTTCCTTTTTTTTTTTTTTTTTTTTGAAAGCAACTTGTAGTTCCGAATTGCGGAAGGAGTGTGAGAGTTGACTTTTGATGACCTATGAACAGTTCATAAAAAGGCTAATAAATAGTCAATGTAAGAACTTATTCTGAGATGTGCAATATGCTTAAATTACAGATGAATTTATGAAAAAAGCAAGTCAATTCAGGAAGATTAAATATTGTTGAAGGCAACATACAAGTATTATATCTGCCATTTCTCAGAAACTGATGTAGAAATGGTGTATGAAGCTAGCGAGAACTTATGCTAACAAGGATTCTTTGTACTCATTGCTGTAAATATGTATATTAAAATGATGAACACTTAAAAGGAGACTGATGGTATCTTTCATACATTTAAAATTTTCACTCTTGATGAGGTCTAAAAATTCAAAATAATTTCTTTACTAGAATTAATTTTTGCTACAAATTGGCTTTGTAAGAGATCACTTAGTTTTGTCTGTTGACTTCAATAGATAAGAAGAGATTATTGAGGAAAAACAAAGGTCATACTCTTCTTCTGTCTTTTTGCTTATAGTATCTCTCCAGTGTGTTGTAGATGTATCATTTCTAGGAAATAGAAAAGGGCAGTTTAAAAAATGCATTAGTAAACTGATTAACTAATAAAGCAGAGTATCAATATGATTACTAAAAAAATTACCATGTAAAAGGCAAGTCTACAGAACTGTTTGGTGCAAAGTCTTCTGTCCTTTCTTAATTTATACAATGGTTTACCACATCTACATTTTCTTAATTTTTCACTAATCTCATTTCTGTTCAGTTTGTTTCTCAGTATTTTGTTTTCTTAATGAGTTGGCAACTTATATGTTCACTGCTTACTATAAAGCTGTTATTTAGGTTATTTTCAGGTGCATGCAACTCAAATGCTTTGCTTCCAACAAAATGGGTTGTTGTCTTGTTGAGAAAGGTAACAAAGTAATTTATAACTTTAAGATAATAATAACCATGCTATTAAAATGCCGATTCCTTAATTTGAGTGGATTGAATAGCACTTTACTGTAAAATTGCAAGAAATATATTCTTAGAGTCTTTGCCAATATGGATATTTTAATGTTTGGGTGCTTTCATATATTTTCAGTATTTTATTACTATGTTGGTATTTTCTTTGTATGATGAATCAGATGAACATCTTTTCTATTTTAATATGTTTTAGAAAAATACAGTTACAAAATAAATATGAGGAACTATGTAGTCTTGAATGTTTAGTCTTTCAAAAATAGCTACATCTCCTGAGGTTTTGGTTCTCTTGTTAGTCTGCAGATACTTAATATGAAGGAGGGGTCAAGATAGTAATGTCCCATAGTCTGTTGTATAGTAGAGGTTGTGATGATACTTGTCAGACAAATGTAAAATAGATGATCGTGAATTCTTAGACAGAGTGCCTAACATAGTAAGATAGCACATGATACTGGCATGTAAACACTACCGTAGCACAAATAATGCAAATCCACACAATCTGCATATATATATCTTGGTAAAACTAACTATTATTTAAACATCACACAGTAAATGGGAAAATACATGTAAGCCAAAAAAAAAAAAAGGAACAGCATTTTTTTTTTTTAAATAGAAATTGACAGTAGTCTACTTTGTGTTTTTCTTCTATGAGAACATCATTGTTTCTATCATCTCAAAACATGGTGACCCATCAGTATTTTCCCAGTCTTCAGTTGTTAGCAGTTTCAGGTTTTGTTTGCCTACCCTTGGAAACACACATTTCAGCCAGTCCACTTTGGAGGGTTTTGTGTCTAACACACACTGAAGTTACAGAGTGCACAGCAGTAATGTGATTTGACATGATACCCAAAATTGAGAGAACCGACAAAAGATTGTTCTCAATTTTTTTTTTTCCACAGTACGTGAAACTCAGTTTATAAAGCTGGGGCATTTTAGAACTTAGACAATTCACCAAATAGGATTTGATTACATGTACTATCAAGATAAAAGGTTTATTTTTCCTTTCTCTCATTGTAGATTAGCAGTTAATCTTGGATTTTACAGACAATTAAGAGACAGCAATGACTGTAATCCTAAAAATTAGCAATTTGTGCTCCAAAAGAGCACATACGCTTTTCCTAGCAAGCAATTTTTGTGCCCTATTCTTAGGCTCAGTTTTTTACTTTATTAAGGAAAATATTAGAGTAAAGACTTCATAAATAGTGCTTTGTTCATCATCTCTTCTCTACTTCCAGCGTCTGACTGTGGGATAGCTCTGAACTGTAGGAATAGGTGGTGTTCCAGTGACACCATTCACATCGGCACTGACGTTGTTCACCCTAAAATTATTTGCAGTGGTTTAATGTTACAGTGTATTTGAATACTCAAAGAGGTATCAAAAGGGAACCAAAAGTTCATTTTACACAGGAAGTATTTTTTTTGATAGTGAAAACAGGAATTTTTGCATAAGGACACAGTCACATTGAGGTTTTTTAATTAGATTCAAAAACTATCTTAAGGAAAAAACACACTGCAGTGGGCTAATTTGGAAAAAAAAATCTTGACTATACTATTTTAACATATCAAATAATTCTCTCCCTTCTTTAGAAAAATAGACACTTACAGACAAGCATAATATATTTTAGACATTTTGTAAAAAAAAAAGGGAGGGGCAGCAGGGCCAAGAGGAGGGTTTTTTAATTACCTTTCTATTTCATCAGTGATTCCCTGCCGTAACTGAGTTGTCTCTAATGTCTGCATTCAAGTTCTCTCAAACATTTGTCCCTGCTTCCAGATGTTGGTTTATATGGCAGTTGTTGAGTGTAGAGAGCGTTTTAAGTCACTGCAGTGTCTTGGGGTTCCTCGTACTTTCTGTGTAGTTGGACTGGCAGCATAAGGGTATAAATGCTGTTCTGTTAATAAAGGACAGTGTTAGTTCTTTCTTTTTCTATGGCTTTATCGTGAAAGTGGACGTTCAGTCAGAATAATAGAACAAATATGAAAATGGACCAAACACCACTGTTCTGCAAAACGCATCCCAGGTGGCTGTAAGAATTCACTGGTTTAGATCTTGCAGTAGTTCCATAGGGTATTGTGTTCGAGACATGAAGATGTCTGTATTTACAGTGTATGTATTAGTTTAGGAAGAGCTAATCAGTTCTAATTAGCCAGGAAGAGCAGGTTGAGTGCTTTTTTCTGGGGTTAAAGAAGATGTGTTAAGTCAATTTCTGAAGTGCATGGCGTATTGTTCCCTGTTTTCATGAAGATGGCTCACTGAGGAATTACTGCCTCGGTATTATGGCAGTTGCTACATTTCCATTACGTGTGTGTTAACACAGGTAAGTGATTGTAAGTTAACAATGCTTTTCAGTATGCCTATTTCTCGGGCACACTTCAGCATCAGCAGCTCCTGGCTCCGTTTCCTGCAGCTGGTGAAAAGCGTAACCTCCCATTTTCAGTTTTCTCAGTTGTTTCAGTCCCACTTTTCAATTCGAACCTCACTATTCTTGCTTTTGCCACTTTTATAGTGAATGCCTACGGTAGTACACATAGACCCAACTTGAAAAATAAACTGCAGAAAATCCACCTCTCCCAAAGCGTGGCAGTGGTGAGAGGTTTTCCTTCTTTCTGATGGTATTGCTGAAGTTAATAATGAAGTCCAAACACAAAGCCCTTTGGGAAAAAATGAAAACTATTTATCAGAGTTGCCAGTCATTGTAATCTTCACCATAGTTCAAAGTAGAGCAGTAGCCCACCCGAAGGACTGCTACGTTCTTCCTTATGCCAGTTCAGGGTCTCTCAATCTGTTGGTAATACTTTCTCTGTTCTATTTTAATTCTCTTAATATCAGTTGTGCTATATTATCACTGTATAGGAGTTGGTTGAAATTTAGGAAAACCTGAATATGAAAAAAATGTTTGTAACTTCTGTTTATTTATCTTTCATTTTCTTTGGTCAGAAGTAGAATGCATTCATTACTTTACTGTCACTTGGAGTTTCTTCACAAAATATTTTTGGAGGGTTTGCTTCCTGTTAAAAATACCTTGTTAGAAAGATGGTAAATTACATGTTCTGTTCATCTTGATTGGCCCATGAGATATGCCAACACTTGATGGTGATTCAGCCGGCAATAAGCAGTGATTTCCTTGGAAATATTCAAGGATTTTTTTTTTCATTTTTCAAAAACATTAAGTTACTGTGCCTCTTTTTTCTTTAGTCTTGATCAGACCTGGCTCCTGAACTAAATACATCTACACAAACTTACTTGACTGAGGAGCAAAAGACTTGGCCTATTGGAATTTGCCAGAAGGAACAGATAGTTGAATATGTACTTTCTCTTACAGACCCAAACTACAAATAACAGTTTACATCTGCTCATGTTATTCCAGTACATGTGTGCATACTGTGAAGTAGCCGCACAATAAACTAGCGTCACTGCTTGATGAGAAAGTAAATGATAAAGACTCACCCCACATACCAGTTTTATCCAGAAAGCCAGGAGGGCAAGGTGGAGCAATGCTACCTAATGACGTGCTCTTCCCTCAGCAGGCTAAGTGGTCTCTCTAGAGCAAGAGTTCCCCTAATTTTGGGCCCAGGAGAGAGAACAAAAGCAATCTTGATAGGTTTTGGTTCAGACCAATGTGGTTTCCTTAGATTTGCAAAGAAATGCTTTGGACACGAGAACTCAAATCGAAGTATCCAGTATCGGTCCCACCATGACCACCATTTTGTGTTTATGATGAAATCTGAATTAAGATATCCTTTGGATAATGATGATGTAGTCTAACAAATCCTGTGTGGTGTTTAATTATTCAAAATTACAACTTTCATGTATTTCCTCAGCCCTGAATCTGTTAAAATCATCGCCAGTTTCATTTTTGACAGCTTGTAGCTATATCTGAACACCTGCTCTTCAAGCCCCAGGGAAAATGTCAGAAATGAGGAACATCACTTAAATAAATACAGATGACAACAGTGGTGTGAAAAAGAAGCATAAACAGAATTTGTTAAGCTTTTATTTTCTAGAATGCTACAATTGATAAATTGCTGAAAGGAGAAGCAAATCTGGGCAAACACCACAGATGCTTCATTAATCTGGTACAACTGACGCTTACAGACTGATGCTTAATCTACTAGCATCTGAATTACGATAATCCCCATGCCCTGAAGGGCATTTTCCTGTATGCCAGTGGCATTTACCATATTTTCCTTTTTCTTATAATTTTTTCAGAATTTAAACTTGCAGCTGATGGTGATGATTCACAAAAACGTTTGGTAGTGCTTTCTAAAGGAAAGTAGTATTTTCTTCTTGAGTTCACCGTTTGATGGGCTTTGTTCTGCAAAAAGGATGTATAAACATAGGTTCTCAGTCCAGTCTGGAATTTGGTGGGAAACCTCAGAAAAGCAATGCTCATTCATGCTAGTCCATTGCAATTTTTAAATACAATCCTCAACAAATATGTGTTGATATATATGTAATCCCAGATACTGCTGTTCTAGTGGATGTTGTGATTGACATGATGCTTCTTCCTACCCCTCACATTGGATGCATGTTGGAGTTTGGAGTAGATATTAAGTCATTTATTTCCAGCTCATACTGAAAGTACACTCCAATATTCCTGTGCTGGCTATCGTGTACTGGTATATGGATGGGGAATATGGGGAACAGGTACAGCCACTCTGTTCTGAGAATCTTCAGAGGGAGAGCATCCATTTACTCCAGCAAGTTTCCAAATTGAAGAGAAATTGCAAAAGCATCAGAGGAAGAGTATCTAATTCTTTTCACTAATTTGGGCACATGTATCCGCCGGAAAGCTTGAGAAGTATTACACGATAAATAAAAGGTGAGGTAGCCAAGGAAGGAGCTGTATCTCGGTTTTGTCTGCTTTAAGCTGCCCATTGAAAAACCGGGGTAGGCAAGTAGATTTTGTGCTCCGTCCATTTTCAGTGAGATTTACCTTCCATTAACCATTTCACTTTGGAAATATATCTGAAGTTCCTTAGTCACATAGATGCCGTCTCATAGCAGTCTGGCCCAATGGATGACAAAGCTTCAGATATGCAACATTAAAACACGGGAGTACACCTCCTTTCTGAAATTCTCCTTAGAATTATTTACTGTAATTGAAAATACAATGTTGTTTTTATTAATCCCTGGAAAACTCAAGAATGTGTGGAAAAGCCACCCCGTGTTTGCAGGAGATTCACAGACAAGAAGAAACTTCATTCTGTAATGTCTCCTCAGCTTTGT